TCCAGCACTTGTGCCCCTGTCCCTGGAGGCCGAGTAGTCTAGTCGATAGGTCTCTGAGTAAGTGGGTGGAAAAGGGGCACACTGGCCCCCTGTGATCCTGACCTAGGAACTGCAAACCACTCCCTGTTCAAGTCCTTAAGTTTGGGGCATGGCACCAAGGGTGTGTCTAGACTACCTAGTTTTGTCGACAAAAGTGGACTTTTGTCGACAAAACTATACCAGCGTCTACACTACCGCTGAGTTCTGTCGACATAATGTCGACAGAACTCAGCAGTTTTGTCGACGCTGGTATACCTCATTTTACGAGGCATAACACCTTCTGTCGACAGAACTCTGTCGACAGAAGGTGTTATTGCCTGTAACATTGTGTCCAGACTACGGAGTTCTGTCGACAAAGCAGCTTGCTTTGGACGCTCTTTGTCGACGGAAGTTTTGTCGACAGTATCTGTCGACAAAACTTCCGTCGACAAAACGCGGTAGTCTAGACGTACCCTAAGAGTCCAGATTCCAATTACTTGGGGTTTCTCAGTAGATTCCTCCCTTTTCCCAGCGGGGTAAAGTGGGGCTTACTTTCTCCAGTGGCTGCTGAGTGGACAAGCTCCAGTTCATGTCCTTACACCAGTGAACCAGGTTCCTGCCTCCTTGCTAGTCAGTGCCAAACTGAGCCAGGCTCTTTCCTTTTCCCCTCCCACCAGGCCTGATATTGGTTTCAGGTAAAGCAGGGTGGGACTAGTTGGGCTCAAGGGCTTTCTTTAATTCCTGAGATGCCAGGCTCTCCTTTGGAAAAATCCATACTGACTATTACTTATCACTTTATTATTTTTTACATGTTTGCAAATTGATTGCTTAATTATTTGCTACATTATCTTTTCTGGTACAGAAGTTAACTGACTGACCTATAATTCCCCAGCTTTCCTGTTTCTCCCTTTTTACAGATTGCCACAACATTTGACCTTTTCCAGTCTTCTGGAATCTCTCCTGTCTTCCGTGACTTTTTGAAGATAATCACTAATGACTCAGATATCTTCTCAGATAGCTCCTTGAATATTCGGGGATGTATTTTCGCCCAAGCCCTGCACTGAATATGGAATTATCAATTGCCTCATGGTATTCATCACCGTAAGTATCTGAGCCTGCATGCTGGAGGTTATACAAGATCTTTTACCATTTCTACTATAAACTTCTCTCTGAGTGGCTTAATACATCATCTATGTTAAGTCACTTTGGCTGGAAATTCTTATACATGCTGCCACTCCCCGATGCTTTTATTTTTCTGTATACTTAAAATTAAGCCCAATTTTATTCCTGTTTAGGAGGAGTCAAGAAATAGATTTCAAACTAGATTCAAAAACTTTCTAGGCAGTTAGATTATCAGAATACCACAAACTAACCCAAAGAGGAGGCAGAAAGTACTATATTTCTAGAAAGATTGTGGAAAGACAATTTGAGCTGCATAATTTAAAAGACAATGTTAAATACATAACAAATTAAAAGTAGTTTCAAGGCAACACATCTTCCTCCTTAGCCTCCTGCCAGTTTTTCTGCACTCTCTGGAACACCCACACAAGCAGCAGGGCTACAGTCCTGATTCTGAAAAACCTCATGCACATGTTTAACTTCAAATCATGTGAGTAGCCCCATTTGTGTCAATGTTTACTATGTTTCACGTTAAGACTATGGCCGTGTCCACACTCAGGGGTTCTTTCGAAAAAAGTACCCTTTTTTCGAAAGAACTTCCCCTGCATCCAGACTCAAGCCGCGTTCTTTCGAAATTATTTCGAAAGAACGCGGCTTTTCTTTCGATGGCGGTAAACCTCGTTTCACGAGGAAGAACGCCTTCCTTCGAAAGTTCCTCTTTCGAAGGAAGGCGTTCTTCAATGTAAAGAGGCCGTCTTCGAAAGAGAGCATCCAGACTCGCTGGGTGCTCTCTTTCGAAAAAGCGGATTTCCTCTATCGAAAGATCCGCCTGCTGTCTAGACGCGATCTTTCGAAAGATGCTCTTTCGAAAGATGCTTTCGAAAGAGCCTCTTTCGAAAGAAGCCTGCAGTCTAGACACACCCTCTGTGTATAATGTAAGTGTTAACAGAATTGGCGTCCTAACTGCCTACAGGGGAAAAGGACTATGTAGAAAGGGCAAGCAAATGCACAAAACAGACTAAAATAATGAGAGATATTTTCCCTGCTCTCTTTCAGTGACAGTAAGCTTGTGTGATACTCATAACATCAGACAGAAAAAACATTTTAAAAAGCCCCACCAAACAAACAAGGATCCTTTAAGGGAAGTTGTGAATATGGGAATCCATGCCGGTGTGTGAGCTAGTACAGCACAACATTTTCAGTGCCATGGTTTTCTTTTTGCTGTCTTCTAATGTGAATAGTGCTATTTTCCTTTTTGTTCTGTTTGGGAGTCCAATCTTGATTTTATACACTGTACCCTACTTTGAGTCCTCTGGATACAAATGGAGAATTTTTGGTATTTTGAAACAAAAATAATTGAAATGAGCTGCGATGTTAAAACCTGACATATTGTCATTGTGGATGAAAGGCACAGTGTGTTTTCATCCTTGAAATGAACATCTCAGCACTCATGAGGTACTACAACAATTCATAGTCACTGTACACTGACATCCTAATATCTCCAATGATAGCCTTCATTCTGACACACTTCCCTGGACAGTGTAATTAATGTAAGCGTATGAGAAAATATAATTGACATTCTAATCAATAAAGCTCTACTTGACAAACTTGCAAATGACATTGAAGTGGTTCCCTGGAGCCAGGCTAATGTCAGCGCAAGTGTACATCACATGACTTACTTTAGCTGCTCTATGACTTGCTCGATCATTAAGCCTCATACATTTTTCTCCATTTGCTTCTTTCTAAATATGCAGTTGAAAGGATACCTCGTATAAGTCATGACAAAGACAAACCTTTCAAGCATACGCACACAAAGGCACATATTTTTGTATGTACCAGTTAGGCTGGCACACCCAGAACAAATCTATCACAAAACAACAAAAGCAAGGAAATAAAAAGCCCGGGGCTAATGTCTAGACTTTAGTGGACTTTTTCTGGGATACCAGAGGAATCCCGGAAAAGCTCTGCCACATCCAGGAGATACGTCCGCTTTTTCGGAAGAGTTTCCAAAAAAGAGGGCATGTTCTTTTGGCATCCCTGTATTGCTCTCAGCAAGGAGTAAGGGATGTTTGGAAAGGGGAGGTTTTTCCGAAATTTGGCCCCGAAATCTGCGATTCACAATTTGTGTATCTTTTTCCAATAAAACTCTGCAGTCTAGCCATAGCCTAAGGTTTCACTAACAGCACAGTCTTCCATCTACTCCAGACCACAAACTTCAACATTAATCCAACCCGCCACTCAAACTGTCAATAAGTTTAAATAGAAACTAGCAGCAAGAAAATAATGTTGCCAAATAGAAAAAGGGGACAAACATAGAATCAAAGGGTTGGAAGAGAGCTCAGGAGACCATTAAGTGCAACTCTCCTAAAAACAGGACCAACCCCAACTAAATCATGCCAGCCAGGGCTTTGTCAAGACAGGACTTAAAAACTTCTAGGGATGGAGATTCTACCACCTCCCTAGGTAACCTATTCCAGTGCTTTACCACACTCCTAGGGAAATAATTTTTTTCCTAATATCCAACCTAGACCTCCCACACTGCAACTTGAGACCATTGCTCCTTGTTCTGTCATTTGTCTTGCTGAAGTAATTTCTCATTATGAGCTATTCACTTAGCTCTAAGAAGGAATCACTTGCTAATATTATTGCTAGCACAAAGCAGGCAATTAGAAGGCAAAAGAAAAATAATACTTAACATTGTGTGTTTCAATATGAATAAATGCTAATGACAGCAATTACTAATAAATCCCTATCACACTCTGAGGTAGGCATTGCAACCATTTTCCAGATGAGGAACTATGTAATCTGTGTTAGATTCTGCTCTCCATCACACCACTTTAAATCCAAAGTAACTCCCCTGCAGTCAATGAAGTTACTCTGGATTTATAGTTGTGTACAAAGAGCTGAATCCAGCCTTGGATTTGGGATTATGACTCTGATTCAGCAAAGCACTTAAGAATATGATTAAGTCTTCTCTGTTCAGCAAAGCACGGGTGCTTAAGTATTACTGAATTGGGCCCAAAGTGATTTGTTCAACACCACACTAAAGGATCAGTGCCAGGGATAAAATTCAGGATTGCAACAACAACTTCACTGAATCAATTAACCAGGCCTGCTGAGAGGCAGGGCCAAAGGGGGCATTACTCCTGAGCCTAGTGATTCTGCAGTGGTGGCTATAACCCTGGGCCCTCTGAATCATAGCTGGAGCACCACACTCCCTGCTTCTGGTGGCTGAGGGCTGCGAGAAGAAAGGGGGGGGGCATCACATCATGCTCCAGGTGGCTCAGCCCCACCCCTTCTGACTAAGGCCACACCCCTTCTGAAAGCTCAAAGCCACTCCCACCCACCTTGTCCAGGAGTCCAGCAAGTCTGTCAGCACCCCTGCAATTAGCATATGAATAATTCTATATATTGTTTTGTGCCAGAGGCCAGCAATCTTCTTCTTTCAAATGTTGTGTTCAACCCTGTATTTCTTCATCAAAGTTGGACATCCAAACTCTCCAGCCAGTGAGCAGCGTCTCTGGTTAGACTGTAGATATCCTCCAGTGAGCCAGTAAATTTTCATGTTGGGCATTCTACAACAATGTGGTAAATAGTTTGCGGACTGCCACAATCACAAAGTGGTGATGGCAACAAATTCCACTTATTCAGTAGATAACCGCCCCTGCCCTGACCAATCCTGAGCCAGTTTAGAACACACCACAGTCTCTGGGGAAGATCGAAACCTTTCTGCTCAGTGGTGGGATCCGACACAAGATGTTTGTTTGGGACATCTACCTGCTGCCATTCAGCTAGCCATAGTTCCTTAACACTGGCTGTGACCTCCTTCGCTCACTGCCAGGAAGGCTTGAGGGATATTAGACGCAATGTTGGAGGCTGATCAAGGTATTCCTGGATGGGAAGAGATTGGCTGCTGCAGTTGATATGTTGGTATAGTCTGAATTCCTGCTCCCGTTGATGGATGCTTGGTGGGGTGATGTTTGCCAGCAGAAGCAACCATTCTACAGCAGTGGGCTGGTAATAACGGCAGTGGGCAATAACAGCTGGCTTTAGGTGTGGGCAAGCAGGATGGTCACTCTTAGCAGCGGATCACTATTCTGCTTGGGTTTTTTTATGTTTGCTGGGCCACTTCAGGAGTTGGGGCACTGAAAAAAATGGACAGCAAACTCATTCTCTCTCTCTGTAAGTGGTCTAAGTGCTACTAGATGAGGCAGTACACCACATCTAGCAGGTGTGTGGGTTAACTGACACATTTCGGGGGCGGGGGGGGTTACTGAGTGCCATAGAGCCCAAATGTAAAACCTATTTATAATGGAAATTGCTTCAAGTCAGGCAAGGGGTGTTTGCCACTGAAAGGACAAACAGGTGGAAAGATGGAATCATGGAGCTGTGTGGGATGACGGGGAGGAAAGTAGACAGAAAAAAAGAGGGGCTTGGAAATGTTGAGGAGAGACATGACAGCTAGGAGAGGGAAAATGGGGAATGATCAGAGACTTAGGAGGGTTTGGGGAGTGCCTCGGAACAATTTACTGAGAACAACCTGTGCTCAGAGGGCTTAGAAACCATTCATTTGCAGAAGGGCAAAGGAAGAAATTGAAAACTGACAGAAAACGGTCCTACTACTAGATCTCTGAAAGGTTGTCCAGCCTTCCTGGATTAGGGGAGTGGGGACAAAATTCTTCTATCCCTGGGTTCCTTCTGCACAGAATATAACCACACAAATGGCTGGTGTTTCACCCTTCACAGAACTGCCCAGCCCCCCTCTTGAGCCTGCTGTCTGAGCTCTTAAATGTTATCACCTCAAGAAAACTGACATTTCCAAAAATAGGTTTTTGCCTATCTTGAGATAATTACAACCCTGGAGAATTACAAGCATTAGGCATATGTGGAGCCCCATGCAGTCCTCAGAGTATGATTCACCTCCTAACTTGTGTGGGACAATGAGAAACAGCAGGGTAATGCAAAGGAATGGAAAATACAGC